GCCCCAGGATCCAGCCTGGAGCTCCCACAGCCCCGGGATCCAGCCTGGAGCTCCCACAGCCCCAGGATCCAGCCTGGAGCTCCCACAGCCCCTGGGATCCAGCCTTGGCCGGGCACAGCCGGACTGACGCTGTTGCTTTTCCCCGTGCAAGTTCCAGGGGGGTTCCCGAGGGATCTGTGGCAGCCCTGGGGCTCCTGCTGGTTCCAGGGCGATTCCCTGCCCTGCCCAGGGGTGACCTGCCTGTCCTGTGTCCCGTTGCAGGTGGGGGCTGACGGGCTGATGAAGCTCAGCGGCTCCGCGCTCAACAACGAGTTCTTCACCTCGGCCGCCCAGGGCTGGAAGGAGAGACTGTCAGAAGGTAAATCCTCCCCTCCCCGACCCCAGCAGGCTCCCAGCTGGGCAGGGTCTGGGGAATGCCTGGAGGCTGTTCCATGGAGCCCTGCAGGGACTCACTGCAGCCTGCCCAGCCTTTGGAAGCAAAGGCAAGCCCAGAATTCTGGGACCTCCAGGTCAGAGACACTGCAGAGGGAGTTCTCTGTTCAACTTAAAATGTGGAATAGAGCAAATCTCTGGGAAAGATGAGAAAAGAAGGAAAAATGTGTTTAAAATCCCTCTGAAATGATGGTGGAGCTGTGGCATTCCAGAGTTGTGGTACCTGAACAGAGACACTGCTGAGCTCAGGAGGGAAGGGGAGTTCTGTTCCCAGAGCTGGGCTCTGTGTCCTCGGCCAGGGTCGGTGTGGTGTCCTTGGAGATGTCAGTTTGCATGTTTAGATTGGATATTAGGGAGAAATTCTTCCCTCTGAGGGTGGAGAGGCCCGGGCACAGGTTGCCCAGAGAAGCTGTGGCTGCCCCTGGATCCCTGGAAGTGTCCAAGGCCAGGTTGGACGGGGCTTGGAGCAACCTGGGCTAGTGGGAGGTGTCCCTGCCCATGGCAGGGGGTGGGATGGGATGATCTTTAAGGTCCCTTCCCACCCAAACCATGCCACAGTTATGTGGTTCTGTACAGCACAAAGTCAGCCATTTGCTGATCTGTGAGGCTCCTGCACCTTCAACATTCATTTTACCTTGAACTTAGAGGTGTTTATTTCCATTATTTGATCACACACATCACTCTCTGTGGGCAGGATCCACCTCCTGCCCTGTGGAATTGAGGCATAGCCTGTTCCCAGAGTTTTCTAAAGACTGCAGCACCAATCCTGAGTGCCTTCAGGAGGCAGGAATATCACTCATGCCCAGGGGATTCCCCTTCCAGGGCTGACCAGCATTCCCTCTCCTCCTGTCCCTTGTTCCCTGGGAGCAGAGCCCGACCCCCCCAGCTCCCCCCTCCTGTCAGGGGGTTGCAGAGCCAGAAGGTCCCCCCTGAGCCTCCTTTGCTCCAGGCTGAGCCCCCCCAGCTCCCTCAGCCCCTCCTGCTGCTCCAGCCCCTTCCCAGCTCCCTTCCCTGGACTGCCCCAATTCCACCCTGGCAGGAACTGTGCTCCCAGGGGACACTCAGCTTCCCTTTGGACAGATTTCAGTCACTGCACAGAGAACAAACTCAGCAAGAATTTCTTACAGTCCTGTTACTTGAGCAAATTGTCAAGAGTCCAACTGTGCAGTGATGGAAACATTCCATGTCTGTGGATCCCTTTGGGGAATCCCCTCTCTGGTAACTGCAGTGTTGGAAAACACCTGATTCCTGTCACTTCCCTCCTGGGAATGGTGTGGGAAGGAGACAAACCTTCAGGTCATCAAGGCCCTGCCGTGGTGTCAGTGATGCCCTCACAGGACCAACACATCTCACACACCTTCACGGTGCAGAGCTGCTGGGGAGGGCTCTGAGGGCACAGGGGAACGTTTCTGGGCAGCCACAAACCCCTGGGTGGGAATGTGCCCCTCGGGGGTGCGAGGGGGGTTTGTTTCCCTGCCTGTGCCAGCAGAGTGTCCAGAGGAGCCCCTGGGGCTCAGGCAGGGCTGCAGCATCCCGGGGTGCTGGGGCTCCTGGGACAGGGCTGTCCTGGGGCTGTGAGGGCTCTGGGCTGTGCCTGGTCCATCCACCCTTTCCTGGCTCTGACAACACCCCTTTGGCACCCGCAGGCGAGTTCACCCCGGAGATGCAGCTCCGGATCCGGCAGGAAATCGAAAAGGAAAAGAAGGTGGAGCTGTGGAAGGAGCACTTCTTCGAGAGCTACTACGGGCAGAGGTGAGAGCTCAGCTTGTGCCCGGGCCCTGCTGTGTGTCTGTCCACCCACAGACACTGCTGTCCATTAGTCCTGAACCCTGAGGAAGGTCTCTGGCTTCACCTGCCCGCCAGGGAGCTGGGAAGTGCCAGAGGGATCCAGGCCAGGCACGAGGTGTTTGCTGCCCCAGTGCCTCATGCTTTGCCCTGGGCAGCCCTGTTCTCCTTAGACAGGATGTCCTTGGGCTTCACACCTTTTCCCATTCCTTGCCACGATCCTTGGAGCCACTCCCGTGGTTCTCCTGGTGCTGGGGCTCTGGAGGTCCTTGGAGCTGTGGTGGCTGAGCGTGTCCCACCTCTGGTGTGCTGCCCACGTCTCCAATCCCACAGCTCTTGGTTAAACTCCCAAACCTGCCCGTCTTTTGTTCTGTGTTTCCTCTTGGTTTAAGATTTTCCCACCCTCTGGGCTATGGGGAGGTTTCCAGGTTTCTGTGTGAGTTACTGAGAGACCTGGGAAGGAGCAGACACATATAAATAACTGATAAGGGGTTTCTTATCCTGTGTTTCTGCTTGTTATCCAGATTTTCTGCTCGTTCTGGGCCTGCAAGTCCGTTTGCTTCCCATTAATCCAGGGTGTTTTAACCCTCCAGAGCATCTGGGTTATTTCTGTCATGCCATGGTCTGGTGGGGATGCTGTGGGTGAGCCAGGGCTGGGGTGTGTGTATGTACAAGCTGTAGTACCAACTACAGGAATACACCAGGCTGGGGGTCCAGGTGACCTGGTGCATTGGTAGGAGCTTTACTCAGCCACCTGACCCAGGGCTCTGGGTGCTGGAAGGTGACAACAACCACAGTCTTGGAGTTTTAGGGGGACAGGGGACAGCAGGACAACGTGGAGGGGACATGTGGAATAGCAGGACCTCAGTTCCCTCCAGCTCCTGAGAGCTTCTCTGGTAGGAACCATTCCCAGGGTCTCACTGGGATGGGCTTCCTCAGGCTTCATGGGGTCATGTTTGGGGAACAAAACGGAATTTGATGGTTCTTTGAGAGGGGTGGATGAAGTTAATCACCCTGGGAATTAGATTCCACGTTTTTAACATGGAAAAAATGCTGGGCCCCTTTTCAGTGTCCCTTCCTGCCAGAGTCAGCGTGTGGGCCCAGGGCAGCCCCGAGCCAGGGGCTTGTTCCCACCCTGCACAGGAGCCTGTGGTGGCTGATACAGGGAGTATTTACTGTTGGCCAAACCCCTTGGATTTGCAGCCTGGAAAATCAGTGTCTGGACAGAGGCCTGGAGCTTCCTGGTATCCCATTTAGGTGGTTTTAAACCTTGATACCGATTTCTGTTTTTCATGTCAGAAGTAACAGCACAGAAGGTTCTCAGAGCTGTGTGGGACCTTTATTTGGGGTGTGGGGTGCAGGGGACCCTGCCCCTGTTTCCCCGAGGATCGTGTGTGGGTTTTGCACAGGTGTTTTACCAACTCTGCCTCTGTTTGTGTGCCAGTTCTGGGCTGAGCCCCGAGGAGTCGGAGCGGCTGACGGCGCATCCCGAGGCAGAGCCCGCCCAGCCCCGCGGCGCCCACGGCACCTCTGCCCCCGAGGCCAAAGCACAGCCAGCCCAGGAAGCACCAGCAGCGAGAAAAGGAGGAGAGGAAGGAAGAGAGGACGCACCAAAGCCAGCCAAGCCCCCTGAGGCCTTGGTGAAGCCCAGCGACCGTTCTCCCCCTGTCAGAGAGAGAGTCCACGGGGAATCCGTTCAGGAGAGACCCCAAACTGCCACCAGGCAGAAGCCAGAGGAAGAGAGGAAGCACAGTGCAGCGAGGGAGGTGCCAGGGAACGAGGCCGTGGGTGCCCCCAGCAAACCAAAGAGCCCCGGGGCAGGGGAGGCAGCAGCGAAGGGGCAGAGCCCGGCGGGGGCTCCGGCCCTGCCCGAGAAGAAGCCCCCCGTGAGTGAGGACATGGAGGTCAGCGTGGAGGCCCACAAGAGGAAGTCAGAGAGCCAGGAGGAAGCTCCAGCCACCCCTGAGAAGAAGCCCCGGGTGGTGGAGCCCTGCCGGCACCACCAGGCATTTCGGAGCCAGCCCCAGCCCTTTCCTGCCGCCGGGACCCCCGTGCCACGAGTGCCCCCCCTCAAGGTAAGGGGCACAGGGGCAGAGCCACGGCCCGGCCTCACACGGGGGCCTCTCGTGGAATCTTGGAATCCCAGAAGGGTTTGGGTGGGAAGGGACCTTAAGGCTCATCTCATCCCAGCCCTTGCCATGGGCAGGGGCACCTTCCACTGTCCCGGGTACCAGGGTGGAACCAGGGGAGCTGCAGAGGGACTGCCAGGCTGTGAGGACAGAGCAGGGGTGCAGAGAGCCTTGCGGGTGTGGGAGGTCCAGCTCCAGAAGGAATTCCATCCACGGCTTCCTGAGAGCCAGCCCAGCACTGAGTTACTCCTGTGTCTGGAACAGGCCGTGTGGCACCACTGCAGATGTTTGCAGCAGCCGAGGGCAGCAGTGCCAGCTGAGGAGCAGGGAAAGAGCCTTTGGGGGAACACCTCAGTTCCAGAGGCCCTTGAGCTGCCCGGTCTTCCCAAGAACCCACCTGGGAAAGGAAATGGGGAACTGGTCACTGCTGGGACGGGCAGGACAGAAACATTCCAGGCTTTGCCCCTCGGGTTTGGGAGCCAGGTCATAGGACCAGGCACCTGCTGCTGAACCTGCTGGTTTGGGGCCTTAGGCAGAAGCTGTAAACGGGAAACCACTTAATTCCTGCATTTCTGTGTGTCCCGGGAATTCTACTCCCCTGTATCAGTATCCTTGATTTACTAAAAGGCTGCAAACTCAGAACTTTACAAGCAGTTCATTGTTCTCACCATGTTGCTCAGTACAGCACCGAGGCAGGAAAGCAGCAATGAAATCGTCAGTGGCACAGAACTGGGGGTCCATAAAGAGACCTGGAATAGCAGCCAGGAAGGCTGGTTGGGCTGCCAGGGAAATAAAGGGGTTGGATTCAACAGGGTGAGTTGAAGGGGACTGCAGATGGTGACTACAAAAGCAGGAGAACATGGGGACAGGTGTGTCATTCCCAAAACAAAGAGAGAAGTGGTGAAGTGGCTGCTCAGAGCTCAGTGGGACTCAGGGAGGTTTTGTGGATATGGAAAACAAATGTAACCTCAAATAAACCCCCTGAGGTCCCTGCAGGGGGGACAGGGGAGCACCGAGGGCAGGGCAGGGCTCAGCTGGAAAGAGCAAACGGAGAGAAAGTCAACTGGGACACTGAGGGGAATGTTTTGGAAGAAAGGACTGAAATATTGGCATTTAATCTCCAGGTGGAGGGATTATTATGGCTTGTACAAAGACACCGAGGGGACGAGTGGTGGGTGTGCAGGGGGAAGAGCAGGATGGTGCCACCGGCCTTCCAAAGGGCAGAAATTCCATCTGAAGGAAGTGTGGAGCAGAGGAAGGGCCGACAGGTGTCAGGGTGTGGAACAGCCCTGCAGGGAGGAGCTGGGTGGGCTCTGAGTGACGGTGTCCGATGGTTCTCGCTGTGACTGTGAGGGACGAGCTCCACCCTGAGCCACTGGGGTTGTACTGCACTTGAACCGGGTGTGAGATCCAAGGGCCCTGCACCTCTCCTGTTACTTGTTTGGAGAGGAGGGGTGTCTCCAAAGGGGTTTCCCCAAAACTACAGCCGGTTCTCTAAGACTAACCTGCCAGCCCTGGAACTCTCAGCCCGCGGGCGGGACGTTCCCCGTGTCTCAGCCACGCTTTGCTCTGCTCTGTTCCAGATTCCCGTCTCCAGAATCTCCCCGATGCCATTTCCTGCGGGCCAGGTCTCTCCCAGGGCACGTTTCCCCCTCTCCCTCGCCAGTCCGGGCAGGACAGGGGCCAGGACCTTGGCCGACATCAAGGCGAGAGCCCAGCAGGCCAAGGCTCAGAGGGCAGCGGCCGCCGCCGCCGCCGCCAGCGCCGCCGCCGCCGCCTCGGCCGGGGGGGCCGTGCCGGGGCCCGGCCCGGGCGGGGGGACACCCCCGGGCAGCGGCACCACCCAAACCCAAACTGGAACGGCGGGGAACCCACTGGAACTGGCAGGAGCTGGAAGCGGGGGAGGTTCGAGAAGGTTTCTTCCCCAGTGCCCAGGGCCCCGTTCCCAGGTGGAGAGCCCGGCGGCGGAGCAGGGAGCTCCTGGCAATCCTTCTGGAGCACAACTACAGCCAAGGGCCCCCGCCCAGCCCGGAGCACCCGGCACCGGCGCCTCAACCACGGCCCCGGCACTAGGGAATGGGAACGGGAATGGGAATGGGAATGGGAGTGGGAATGGGGGGGCCGAGCCGAGCCCCCCGCAGGTGACGGTGGCCCCAGGGACGGGATCCCCGTGCACCGGGAGCGGGGACAGAGCGGGGACAGCCCCCTGTGCCCGCGGGGCTCCGGCGCTCGGGGACGGGCCCGGCTGCGGCACCGGCACGGCCGGACCCGCGGGAGCACCCACGGCCTCGGGAGGGACCGGCTCTGACGAGTCCAAAAGCAAATCCCCTTCCCCCCTGGTGTCCTCACTTCCATCCGCAGGCCCCGAGGCCCAGGCTGGAGCTGTGGGCGCTCCTGCCCCCGTCCCGCCCTGCAGCGCTCCCTCAGCAGCACCCGGCCTTAAAACCCCCCCGGGCGGGGCCCTGCCCAAAGCCAGCTCCAGCATTCCTGCCAACAACCCTTTGGTCACCCAGCTGCTCCAAGGCAAGAGCGTCCCCCTGGAGCAGATCCTGCCGAAGCCGCTCACCAAAGCAGAGATGAAAGCGGTGCCCTTGGCTCCTCGGGAAGAGAAAGGGGCAGCGGCTCCTCCCGCCGCTCCCGGTGCGGTGGGGAACGGCACCGGGGCCGAGGCGGGCGACAGACCGTCGGGTTTGCCCTCGCAGCAGCTCGGGAAGATCTTCTGCCAGAACAGGCCTCTGCCTCACATTCCAAGGACCTTCCCGCTCCCCTCGGGAAAGGAGCCCGGCCATGAGCAGCAGCAGTGCCACGAGGCGCTGAGCAAGGCGACCCAGGAGCAGATCCTCCAGACCCTCATCAAGAGGGTGCAGAGGCAGAATTTGTTGCCCGTCCTTCAGCCCTCGCAGCTGAACCTCCCACACTCAGGTTTCCCAGTGGAGAACAGTTCCACCAGCCAGAGATTCATGCTGGGCTTCACGGGCAGGAGGACGTCCAAGCCTGCCATGTCTGGTCATTACCTGCTCAACATCTCCACCTACGGCCGTGGCTCGGAGAGTTTGAGGAGAGGCTTCTCCTTGAACCCCGAACTCCGCCTGGGGCTGAGCAGTCCCGCGGAGGGTCCCAGGGCAGAGTTTGGGGAGTGCGAGGAGGGGGCCGGCCCGGGCAGCAGCAGCGAGGAGGACGCGGACGACGAGAGCACCGGCGACGAACGGGAGCACTTGGGCGTCAAGGAGGAGCCGCAGGCGTCCGGTCAGTGTGAGAGAGAGCGGGGATCTCACAGCACCAGCCCCGTGGATCCCGGCTCCCTGGGGGCGAGGGCTGGGAAGGCTGAGGCGGCCCCGGCAGCGCCGGCAGCCGGCACCAAGGAGAGCACTGCGGCGCTGGACGGCACCGCGCTGGCCCGGGACCTGCTGCAGGCCGCGCAGGAGCAGATGGCACACGCCATGAGGGGGAGGATGCACGGCAGCCCGGAGCTCTTCGGGCCTCCCGCCCCGTCCCCGGACTCGGCGCAGCCCCCGCTGCTCCCCGCCCCGCACCCCCCGAAGGGCTCTGGGAGCGCCGGGGCGCAGCTCCTGGGGCCCAGCTACAGCGGCACAATAAACGTCTCCACCTCGCCCGACGTGAGCCAGGGCTCGCTCATCACGGGGCTGTCTGAGTGCAACCAGCTGGCCAGTTCCATGGGGAACGTCATGTCCTTCTCCGTGACTGTCACCACCATCCCCGCCGGCCAGGCCGTGAGCTCTGGCGGGCACGGGCAGCCCCTCCCGGTGCAGGCCTTCGCCGAGGACGGCGGCGTGGAGGACCCCCCTTCCAAATGTTACTGCAGGTTGAAAGCCATGATCATGTGTAAGGGCTGCGGGGCCTTCTGCCACGATGACTGCATCGGCCCCTCCAAGCTCTGCGTCTCCTGCCTCGTCGTGCGGTAACCGGGACGGCACGTGGGGAAGAGGATGGCTCCATTTAGGGTTTGCTTTCGGAACTATGTTGGGAAGAAACAGGAATTTTACTGCCTTGCACAAGAGACACGTTACTGAATCAGGAAAACAGAGTAGAGTCCTTCTTTCATTAACGAAAGAGCACCTTCTTGTACAGGGAGTCGAGATCGCGCTCGACTGCGTGAATTGTGACAAGAGTTTGCACTTAAGGAATTATGTAAATATGTCACATTATTTTGTTTAAAGATATTTTTTCAATCTTTTAGGAGGTAGTGTTTGACTTGTGCTGCAGTTTCAGTAACCCCAGCCCGCTCTGAGCGTGTTTGCTGAGCTCTGCTCGACGCGGGGGCTCCAACCCGTAGCCTGTGGTTGGTCTTCTCCTGGCGAGGAGGAGAACGGGATAATCCCAATCCATCCGTGTGTGCTGACCGGGGACAGAGCCCTGAGAGGGCTCCCTTGGCTGCCCTCTGGTTCAAATCTTTGGGAATGGGAAGGCACTGCCAGTGTCGTGCCAGCCTTCCCAGTCATTGCCTTCCCCCCCCTGTGACCTGGCTGTTCCCAGGAGGCTCCTGGGCTGTGCAATATGGGCTGGGGTTTCTGAGCTGCAAATCCTCTCCCGGGAGGCACTTCCAGTCACCACACTGTGAGGGAGGTGGTGTCTGGGTGTGTGACTGGGCAAACTGAAAGAAGGAACTGTCCCGGCCATGGGGCCCAGAGTCCCTGGAACAGCTCAGGAACTGGGATTGTCGGTGCCCCCTGAACCACTGAGAGCAGAGCTCACACAGCTGTGCTGGGACTGTCAGGACCGGGCAGGAATCTGCTCTCCTGGGCGTTCCCAGTGAGCTGGGAGGTGCCCTCCTGCAGCCCAGGGCCAGCAGCTGCTGGGACACGGGGGCAGGTGAGGGGCACAAAGCGTCACCCTCGGACCTGCCATGTTCTGGGAAGCGTTTTGTGCTCCTCCAAACCCCCCCGTGGTCAGACATCTCCAGTTTCTCTCCAAGATTCTGTGTTTATTCCGTGTAGGGAAAGGCAGTGAGTGTCTGGTTGGGCCTCGCTGGGCAGCTCTCTGTATTTGAAGAACCAAACCAGGCTCAGCTCAGCTCGGGTTGGGCTCAGCTGAGGGGAAGGGTGGGCTGGGGATGGGGCTGCCCCTGCCCCTTGTACCTGACAGGGCCAGGCACAGCTGGGGATGCTCGTCCTCACTGTCCATCCCTGGATTCCTTCTGCTGGAGGATGGAAACTGAAGCGGCCCCGGGGTGGCCCCGCGTTCCCTCGGGAGCTGAGGACGGGCTCACACGGGGCACTCGTCACACCAGGGCTGTTCAGAGACCACCGGGCTCGGTGGGCCCGTCCAGTCCCACACTGTCCCTGCCCTGGCAGGCAGGGGCCTCGCTGCCTCCTGGTCAGGGAACAGAGCTGGGTATGTTTTTGATGGAAAAGCACTGAATTCACTTTGAATCCAAAGGCCTTTTAAAGCTGAAGCAATATTCCCACGGCAGTGGGACGGCTGTGTGGTGCACGGGGTCCTCAGCCCTCCTTTCCTCTCCCTTGGCTGTACTACTGCTTCCCCTTCCCTTCTCCCCCCGGGAACCTGGCACGTGGTGGGAGGAGCAGAAATAATTGTCTGGGAGGTTTTTCAAGGAGCAGGCGCTGCCCAAACCTGCCAGAGCTCCAGGAGCGTTTGGACAACGCTCTGAGGCACAGGATGGGATTGTTGGGGTGTCTGTGCAGGGCCAGGGGTTGGACGTGACGGTCCTTCCAGCTCAGGATATTCCATGGTTCTGTGATTTATTTGGTGATGGTAAGGAAAAGGGAGTTGCAAACTAAATCCCGTGGCAGCAGGAGTGTTTCCTTCCCTGCCCTGCGAGTGCAGCTGCCTCCGGAGCAGGAGCTGCAGCATCGCTTCGTCTGGGATTTGCTCATCTTAAATTCATCGCAGAGCAGTGGCCCCCCTCTGTCTGATTCCACATCACTGCTCAACCATCCGTGGAGAGGATTTAGGGATTAGAAATAAACTCAATTTTTTTTAACCTAAAACTGAAATCTCAAAAAAAACCTGCACGAAATTGCTCCCGCGAGCGTCTCGCGTTGGTGGTGGTTGTAGCCCAGGGATACCCCAGGCTGTGTGTGTTCCCACCACTTCCCACTTCCAGCTCGGGTCCTGGAATTCTGAGTAACTCTGTCCTTGTCTGGGCGTGAAGGAGCTCCCAGCAGTGTAATCCTGGGCAGACACACCCCTTCCCGCCCGGGACAGCACCGGGAGGATCCGATTTGCAGACTGTGCTGGCTGCAGAGCAAACTGACCCGGTGGCTCTTGCCTCAGAGGAGAGGGAGAGGTTTTGCTGCCCAGCTGGAGCAGTTCTGTCACTCCTTGGCTCCCCTCGGTGTGTTTTCCCAGGCTGAAGGAGAGGATGAGGAGGGACCATGGGCAGTGACCTGCCTGTGTCCCTGAGCACTCACCGGTGTCTCACGGGCTGCCGCTGGAAAGACAATTCCAGTGCTCCTCTGGCATTTCCCAAACCACCCCATCCTGGCTGTGCTTCCAGCTCCTTCATCCCGTTAAATTTTACCTGTGTCCTCTGCTGTGCATGGATTTGGGCTCTGTGCTGGTTCCTGGCAGTGCAGGGAGCTGCTGGTCCCTGAGCTGTCCCACGGGAATGTGCCCACCTGGCCCTCGATGGCCCGGGGTGGGATGGCTGGTGATCCAGAGGAGGATGGCTGGTGATCCAGAGGGGAATGGCTGGTGACCCCAGACATGGAGGTGGCCCCAGGCTGGCACTGGCCAGTGC